AGCTACTTCCATATAGGACACCATGGTCAGCGCTACCGAAGCGAGAAAACATTGCAAGAGCGGTGAATAGACTAAGAAAGGCACATCTTCCACAACTATCCAGACTTGATTCAGAATGATTCAAGATAGTCTCCCAGAAGAGTTCTTTTTATCATAATATAATATAATATAAATAACGTTAAAATAAAATATTGGTTTTTAAAAACAATTTATATCTATGATATATRTATTTACCAGACTTGTGTAAATTCTCGCGCGCTGATTGGCTGATTACAGTGTGCAGTGTGCTGACACCATCACGTCGCGCGCGCTCATTAAAGGCTGATTTTCGCTAATTTTTAGACTAAAAATGTGGTTAAAAACAAATTGCACACGGTTTTTCGTTGTATGTCCTCTTATTGACACACTCTTGACGTCATAAAATGTTCAAAACTCGATTGGACCCACGAGCGCAGCGAGTTGAATATATTTTTATAAAATTTTTGATATATAACGCGCTTTTGATTGGCTGACGACCGTGTTTATATCAGAGGACAGAGACACCGGCAAAATTTTCTTTTCGCTCGAAAATTTTATAAAAGAAATATAAAACGGCCGCTTGTGTCTCTAGCTCTGTCCTCTGATATAAACAAGGTGGGAGTTGAAAAACACTCGAGAAGCAGGAGAAACACTCGCTACGCTTACCGTTTTATATTTCTTTAATGAAAAATATGCCTTACAGAAAAACTAATGATAATCAAACACAAATTCTACTTGAAGAACACTTGACACTTTTATAACCTATTGTATCAACACCTATGTGGTTTATTATACTCTCCTTTGTAATTTTTACCTTCACACCTATTGTTTCCACTATAACTATCACGTATTGTATGTAGATAGTCTAGCACTTAGTCTTTTGTTCAATATCATATACATAGCTAGATGATAGGATTGTTTATCATTAAATACTGTCTGATGAGTTCCAAATTTATTCTACCTGCAAAATTTTGAACCTTTTGTAGTTTTGATACATTTTTCTTAGAGATATTAAGCCACACAGGAGAACAGTAATAAAGTTAACTAAAAAATAATGAATTGATAATCCTTATCAATGTTTTCGTGTCAAACAAGTTCTTAA